CACCAGACGAAAGGTGTTTGCCCAGGATGGGGGAGTCGGTGGAGAGGGTGGAAGGTCAAGACTTGGTAAGTTCCAGGTTTCAGGAATCCTACCAGGACCCAGCATCTGACTCCAATTAGGGTCCAGATGGGGGTCTCAGGCAGAGGATTTCTAGGGTCTGTCTTGGAAACCCTCTCAGGCCCAAGTCCTATGGAAATGAACACAAGATTGGCAAATACATGGCACTCGCTGCTTTTCTCCCCTCCTTTGGTTGAGACCTGGATAGGAAGTGATGACAAGCTTCCCCACTGAACCTGCAGAGGCCTCGAGCTCCTGCTACACAGTGGACCAGTACTTCCTCCCAGTACCTGAAGACAGTAGTAGGCACACTAGATGAAACCAACCTGCCACCTGAACTGGGAGCTGAAAGGGGCTGTCCATGCCCCAGGCCAGATGGCTCTACTGCCTGCCAGGTCCACCAGGCAGCGAGGGGAGTTTAGAAACACCTGGAGTCTCCCTCACTTGCTCCCGGCCAAAGGGAAAGGAGACGCCCCCCCATTAGGAGGGGAAGGAGAGAGAAGACTCCCCATCTGCCCCCCGCCACACATACTTACACACACACATACGCGCGTGCACACATACACTCACGCTGTCACACACATGCACGCGCGCACACACACACACACACACACACTCATGCCTCAGCTCCAAGCACTGCCCATTGGGCTGCAGACCCTGGGCATACCGCAAGGCGAGAGGTGGGCAAGGGGAGGAAGTGGAGGTAGGGATAGGGTTACAAGGCCTGGGGATGGGGACAGGGGGTACCCTGTTCAGAGGTGACCTGCAAGTTCAAGTTATGCAGAAAAAGTATCAAAGAGGCAAGACAGTCTCTGCCCTTGGCAGATGCCTGGGCTGGGGGCATGAGAAGGGGCAGAGGGGTGATGTATCCCCTAATTCCCCACTCTCGGGTCCCCCTCCCAAACCCCCAGCCCTGACAACAGGGCCAAGAAGTCTGTGCTGTACAAAACAGGCTGGGGTCAAGGGTCCAGTCACTGGTGAGACACCCCAGCAGAGAGGAGGCCGGGCCAGCCCCAGGTTGAGCCCCTTCCAGCCCCAGCTGCCATGATCAGATGCCACCAAGACAGGAGTCCAAGCACCCTCTCCTACTGCCTCCAGAGCCTGTCTGTCCTCAGTCTCTGGGCTGCCCAGGGCCCCAGTCAGCTGTTGACAGGGAGGCCCTGTGCTTTCTCCCTCAGTGCAGCTCAGACCTCTTTGGGAGAGGTGAGAACAGGCTGGAGCGGGTGTGGCAGAGAGGCCCCAGGGAGGCTGGTGGCGCCTGGAGCTCTGTAATGATATGATGGAACCATCATCGGAGGAGAAAAAAATAGGAAAAAGTCTGGTCCACCCTAGGCCAGTGTCTTGAATAAGTTTCTGCAGGAGGCAGGGACCAGAGGAGGCAAGGATACAGCCAGGCAGCAGCCCTCCAGACTGAGGGGGCCTGGGGAACTGGAACCACGGCGTCTCTTCCCCTGGAGACTCTGCAGGGTCCCCAGGCCAGGCTAGGGAGGAAAGGAGAAGCCCAAGGGCCCGGGGCTCCAGCTCCCTTAGGTCAGTTGAGGGAAGAGCAGAATCAGGCCCTCCCCCCACACTGCATCCCAGCCCCGATCTCTTCAAAGCCTGGAGCTACAGGCAGGTAGCAGATGAGAAGTCAGTCCTCGATGGGGTCTTCCCCTGGAGCTTGAATGAAGGGATGAGAGGGCAGGCAACGGGAGAAGCTGAGGACAGGTCAATTCCTGGGCTGTGATCCTGGCCCTCAGGGTCCCTGTGAGTGAGCGACGGGACAGGGGAGGACTCCCCATCCGGAGACATCACCCCCTGGCCGCAACACAGAGCTTACTGTAGAGCCCACAAAATCTATGAGAGAGAGAGAGAGAGAGAGAGAATTGGAGAAAGTCAGAGACTGCCAGGGCATTGGGGCTCCCCTCGGCCACTTCTCAGGTGGGGTGGGCAAAGCTGGGCAGGGAAGTGACCTGCACAGGCTGTGAAATCCCAGCCAGGCCTCTGCCTAGCTGGATGATCTTGAGCCATTTGACCCCTCTGAGTCTCAACTTCCTCATCTATACAACGGTCATAATAGCCTCCTTCACAGGGTGATTCTGAGGGGTGAAAAAGACATAAATAATTATAGCTAAGGGCTTTTTCACAATGTTTAGTGCCTAGTAAATGCTGGAAATGATAGCAATTTATTTTATTTTTTACTTTTGTCCCAGAAGTCTGTCTCAGAACTGAACTGGAGGGATGGAGACCCACAGAGGCTGAGGGAAGGCAAACTGGGGCTCCTTCACATCATTCTTAGCACTGAGAATAGGGCGCTTTGGGGAGGAGGAGAGGACGCTGGCTGGGCCCGTCTCACCCAATTGCAACCCCAGACCCCTTCTTCAGAAAGGCCGTGGCTCTTAGTCATGCACTTCTGGAAGCTGCCACCAGAGGGCAGGCCCTGACCTCACACCAAGAGCACAGAAACCACCAGGTGTCAGGGTCTCCAGGGACAGGAGGCTCACAGACAGGTTTTAGCAGCCCAGGAGGGCCCCCGAAAAGGAAGCAGGCAGCAGGGAAGAGTCTGGCCTTTGAATTTGGACCTGGGTTCAAATCCTGGCTGCACTGCTTCAGTGACCTTGGGCAAGTTAACTGCACCTCCCTGGGGACTCACCTTTCTCATTTGTAAAATGGTGGCCATGATGTCTGCTTGATGGGGAGTCTTGAGCAGTGACAGTTTTTTCTGAGTATTCATCAAGTGCCCCTTAATAGACATAATCTTTCTTCTTCACAAGACAGCCCACCACCCTCATTTTATGAAGTTTAGGAAACTAAGGCTCAAGGACATGAAGCCATTTCTTTGATCAACCTGCTTCCCACACAGACGGTCTGCCTTCAGTCCAAGGGTTCCACCACCAAACTAACCTGCCTCCTGCCAGATGAGATAATAAGCTTCACTGCCATTAACCCCATTTTATAGGTGAGAGACTCCAAGAGAGGAATATAATTAATGGAGAGTGCTAAATATACACCCAGCACATGCTAATGTAACATGCAGGGTGTGACTGTGAAAACTACTACTCCTATTTCTCACTGCAGGGAACGCACACGCAGACAGATGGGTGTCTGTCCACTGGTGTCATCCCTGCCCACCCCCCATCCCCCTGCCCCCTGGCCCCTTGCTCCAGGGGCAGGGTAGGCTCCTGGCTCAGAAGACCAACCCTTCTTTGGAGAGTAATCTGGCACTGCCATTACAATTGTAAGTGTGCAACTCCACTTCTGAAAAAGCACCCAGAAAACATTGTAGATAACAAGGCACAAAGATGTCTAGCCTAGCATTGTCAGTGATGGTAAAATCCTTGAAACCTCCCTACCAGTCCCTAAAAGGAGAATGGTTAAGAAATTACAGTTCCTCCATCTGATGTAATGCTAAGCACTGGATATAAAGGGTTCTCCATAAAAGGATAAAGAAAGATCTTTCAGATATGCTCTAGGGTTGGGCACAAGAAGCAAGGGATTTGTTTAGGATGATGCCTATCTTGTGTTATATTAGCACGTAACACTACTATATATTTTATAAAGGGACATACAACATATGTTATGTACATATATGCATAAACATCTGATAACAGTGGTTAGCACTGAGCCTCTGGCCTCATGTGTCAATTTTTTCTTTACTGTATTTCAGTGTTACTTGATACATACAAAAGTTGATATGTAATATACTACGTATACAAACACCTGTGTGGGCTCACCATGAAAGAACTGTGATCGCCAATAATTTGTACATGCCTACACACCCACATCTCATGCTCCTGGCCTCCCCTCTTCTATCCCAACCACAGATAACCATCATCCTATCTTCTGTATTTATTGTTTCTTTGCTTAAAAAAATATATACAGTACTACCATAAACATATTTATTATTAAGCCACACATTATTTCGTGTCTCTTGGTTTTTTATTGAGCTCCATAAAAATATCATTCTGTCATCTTCTGGAACTCGATTTTTTTCCCTCTATTTCTCAATATTATGTTTCCAGGATGTGTCCATTCTGTTACTTATAACTAAAGTGTATTCATTCATTATGCACTATTCCGTAATATGAATATATTGCCATTTATCTATCCATCCTCCTGTCAATGGCCATTGTTTTCAGTAGTTTGCTATTTGAAACTGCTGCTAAGACCGTCCAAGCAGATTTCTCATGGGTTTATACTCCTGGTTGGGTCTGCTGGGTCACAGGCATGCAAATGTTGGGATTTGAGGAATAACCTCAAATGGCTTTCACTGCCTGCACCCTTTCCAGCTCTGGTTTTGTCTGAGTACTCTGTGACACCTCTGGGCCCCACCACCAGCCCCAAGCGCACTCGCCTTTGTTCTCCTGCTTGAGCTCCTCCTGCAGCAGGTCTGTTTGCCGGTTGCCCAGCACGAAGGCGAGGAAGGAGAGGATGAGGGCGTTGAGGATGCCGATGATGGCCAGGATGTACGCCCAGCGCACTGAACAGTCCCCCAGGGAGTACTTCCCGGTCTTGGCCCCACACATGTCCCGGATCGTCTCGGCGTCCCAGCCGTCGGGGAAGATCATGCAGCCCAGCACAAGGCACAGAGCTGAGGGGACGCGAGGCCGGGCACACCGCCATGGTCAGGGAGGAAGAGAGAAGGGGTTGAGTACTCCCCAGAGGCAGAGGACCACCACAGCCCTCCAGGCTGGGCTGCGCAGCCCCCACCCCCCCACCCCCCACCCCGCCCCCCTCCCCCCCCCCCCCCCCCCGCCCGTCAACCCAAGAGCCTGTTAACCGCTTCTGTGCGTTCCAGAAACTTTAGGGTCTGAGATGGCCTCCTGCCTCGGGGAGCAGGAGCTTTCCGGGACCCATAATGCCCCCATCAAATCAACTCCTCCAGGAAGCCTTGGTGCAAATACAAGAAAATAGTAACTCACGCTCAGCTGCTTCAGCTCCCTTTAGCATCCTGACCATGCTTACCCCCTCCCATCCTCTTCATTCTTTATTTTTGTCATTCATCCAACAAACATTTATTGAGTGCCATTCCCCTTCCTTCAAGATGCTGGACCTACGTTCTCATTCATGCAGTTGAGTGCTGCTCTCAAAGAAAAGACTGGGGTAAGTTCTTTCACTTACTGGGTGTACAACCTTGGGGATGCCACCTGTCTATGTCTGTGTCATGGAAATAACAGCACTACTGCACAGGGTGGTGGTGAGGATTAAAGGAAGTCAGGTGTGTAAGACACTCAGTCCCCGGCATTTTCTCACTGAGGGCCCCGCGTGTGCAGGCACTAGACTGGGCAGGGGATGGGGGCATTGCTTGCACTCCAGCCTCACAGAGTTTGCAGTTAGGCGGGGGAAACTACTGAAAAACTCTTTGCTCTCTGTGAGAGCAAAGACATTACAGGCCTGGGGCTCAAATCCTTACTCACGTCTTTTCTAGATGTGGGAACTTAGGCCAGTTCCTTCACCCATGAGCCTATTTTCTCATCTGTAAAATGCGGCTAATGATGGCATCCAAGTCATTGCAAAGATTACAGGAGGCAGCAAATGTAAATGCTTGACATAGTAAATCCCAGATAAATGTTAAATGTTATTATTACTATCATCAAAACTAGTCATAATGATAAAAAGAATAGTCACATAAATAAGGAAATTATTGGGGAGCAGGGAGCTTAGTTTCAGGTGGTGGAAGAGGGGAAACAGGGAGAGGCCAAGAAGAGGAAATAGGCCCCTGCTGGTTCCCCACCTTGGCATCCACTCACCAGTGTTTAGTGACCCACCTCTGCCAATCCAAACCCAAATAGTCTGTCTGGGTAGGCTCTTTGCAGTGCCCAGCCTAGTTGGTGGGACCTAAGTCTGAGCCAAACAGCATAAGCCCCACACAGCCAAAGAGAGCCAACCAGGCTCAGTAAGCAACCGAGGGCTATGACCTTCCACTCCTGCCATGCGGTGTGAGCAGCTAGCCTTGTGACTTGTGACTGTGTCTGCGGCTTGATGTTGCCCTCTCGGTGTTCGACAGTCCCACCAGCAACAAGGTTACTGTGTCTGAGACCTGAAGGTTCCACACCAGGCCCATGGGGTGCTTAACCTGGGTTTTAGAAGACAGTGATGACAAAGAGAGGGTGGTGGTCAGTGCTGCCCACTGTCCCAGAGGCCCATCTAGTCCCCAGGGTGGGGAGGACGCCCTCAGCTTTGTCACGTGTCTCCCTCACCTATCGTTCAAGGAAGTGCTCACTAGGCTCCAGACTCCCGTCTACCAGTGCGCCGGGGCCCCTCGCTCTAAGGTTTTGCCTCCTGTAGCCTTCCTCCGTCCTCCTGTGACACGACAGTATTCCCCACATCCCTAGGTTGTGCTCCTCGTCCTGATGCAGGTCTCCCCCACAGCACTGTGACCACACACAAATTTAGGGCTGTGTCCCCTCTCCCCGTGCTTGCCTGCTCCAAGATGAGTCGCAGCTAGAGTACCGCGAGTCGCTTACCTGCTGCGAAAAGGGTTCTTGGCAAAGGGAGACGGCAAATGCAAGAAGCCCTGGGGTGAGAATGAGCTTGGGGGAGCTAAACAATCCCACAAGTTCGAAGATGCACTTTGGCCACCCAAATGGAGAGGTAAGCTCAGGGGGAAATCGGTGCTGGAGATGTAAACTTGGGAGCTGTGGGCAGGTTAATCCCTGGGACTGGAGTTCTGGATACAGAGAAGGCCCAGGACTGAGCGCTTGGGAGGGAGGAGAGGAGGAGCCTACGGAGAAGGTCCACCCACCCACCTCCCCAAATATCCCAGATATTTTGCAAGGCCCTCTAGGCCCCTGTCGGAGACGAGAGGAGGTTCGAACGCCGGGGTCGGGGAAGGAGAGCGAAGGAGCGCACTGGGTATCTGAGGGCTCCGGCCCAGGAGGCGCGCTCCCGCCTCCTCAGCGAAAGGCTGGGGGTGACGAAAAGAGCCTGGGCATGGGCCAAGTCCACCCAGCCCCTCCGTTTCCCCTCCCCACAGGCCGCATTTCCTCTCCAGCCCAGAGCGTCGCCGTTTCCATGGAGACGGCACCCGCACCCGGAGCTCCCCGCAGCACCGCCGGGCTCGCAGGGCGGGCCTCTCCCTTTGGCAGCTCCGCGCTCAGCCCTCAAGGACTTTCCTTCCCGTGGCCCTGCGCCCGCACGCTCTCGCTCTCACCGCCCACGTGCCTCTCTCAGTCGCGTGCCTCTATCTGTCTCTTGTTCTGCTACTGTCTCTCGGGCATGTCTGCATCGCGCTCAAGGGTCGGCCTCGACCCTCCCTCTCCCCTTGTCTGGTTAGATCTCTCTGCATTTAACATTCTTTCATCAGCCCTCCTCTTCTCTCATCCTTTTCTCGCTTCTCTTCCTTCTCTGGATCTAGCACCTGGCCCTTTCCTCCCTCCGGCTCTCCCTTCGAACACTGCACACGTAAATCCCGAGGGCCAGTAATGTGCCGGACATTGTGCAGGATGCTGGGGCCCCTGGAGGCGTGGTCCTCAGAAGAGGTGTGTGGGAGAAATAAAATCAAGTCAGTACACAAACAGAATACTTATGCATGTCAAGGAGTGCTTGCAAGGAAGCAGACTCGGGGTGGAGACCCAGAATAACAGGATGCTGGGAGAGGGAGGGGGTGGACCTCTCCATCTCTAACCCACTCTCTCTGCCTTCTCTGTTCTGCAGCGTTGTAGGTGGTGGCTATGGGGCGCCCAAGGCTGCTCAGGGAATGGGAAACACCCAGAAGTCAAGCAAATGGAGAAAAACCAATCAGATGGCTTCCCTGGACCTGGGGGAAGAGAGAAAAAGACCACTAGGGACAGCCTAAAACAAGGAAGTGACAAAGAGTTTCAACCTTCAGGAGATAGAATGACTCCAGGTAAGGCAGGTTTCATCCCCATGTGCTGAATGAGGAAACTGAGGCTGAAGTCTTTGGAGTCTGAGTTCGAGTCTCTTTTGGAAATAATGAGCCGGCTGCTTTGAATCACACACACAGGTGTGGGGTGCCATGTGGGGTAGGGCTTCTCAAAGGAAGCATTTTTGACATTTGATCTGATAATATTTCATGATGGGGGGCTGTCCTGTGCCTTGTGGGATGTGGCACATCTCCCCCCACCCCACACCCCACCCCTGCTGTCATCATAAAAAACATCTCCAGATATTGCCAAATGTCCCCTAGGGGGGATGGGGGGGGGGCGCCAACCTGTCCCTGGTTGAGAACCACTAGTATAGGGAAGGGGCCCTCTGATGGGGAATCTCTATCCATTACCCTTCAGTCCACTGACTTCCCCTGCTCCAAGCAGCCAGAAAGTGTTGTGACAAAATTAATAATATGAATATTCATAATATGATAATAATGTTAACAAAGAGCATTGAGTGCTTAACTACATGCCAGGGTGCAGAGCTCCTGACACCATGATCTTGTTTAATGCTATTACAAATCTATAAGGTAGGGAAAATCATGATCCTCATTTTATAGATGAGAAAACAGGTTCAGAGGAACCACGTATCATATCTCATGACACAGAGCTAGTCAGTGGTGGGATCTGTATTTAAACCCAGACAGGTCTTTACTTAACATTTTTCTTTTAATAGCCTCACTTTTTAACTTAGAGGCATTTACTTAAAAAGTAAGCTTTATATCACTATCATAGAAAAGGAAACCAGGATCATTTGCCACAAATAGAAGGAAACTATAAATATAATGAAACCAAAACAATGTTCTTAGATCCTAGCTGGATACTTTTGCCTGCCAAATGCTCTGAGCATTTTCTCTCTGTTTAAGAGGTTTAATAGTGTGTGAGGAATTAAGGAAATACTAGCACCAAATTGAGCCTTTCACCTTGAAGCCATGAGACACTGCCCACCTTGCATGGCCTCAAAAGGAAGCTGAACTCCATTCTTCACTATGTTGCTTTAGGCAAAGTTGGTTTACCACTCTGGGCCTTGGTTTCTTCATCTGTAAAATGGGATCATGACATCCACACCACTTATTTCATAGCACTTTTGTGAGAATCAACTGGCAGGTGAGAAGAGGTGTGCAAATTATTACTGGTGAAGTGGGGACAGGTCATGGCAACTCTTGGGGAAGTGGAAAAAAAATCTGGACAAAAGAGATAAGCCTTTTTCCAGATAGTCAAGAACGGTGAACAGTCACTGCCTGTGGAAGGTGATTAGCTTAATTTTTACACATAATCATGACAGAGACTAGTACTTTGCTACTATATCTGTTCATCCCTCTTCCTTACTATTATAACCCCCAGTTTTTTGCTGAGAACTTGACCATCAAAAATAAAGCTTCCAGGGGCGCCTGGGTGGCGCAGTCGGTTAAGCGTCCGACTTCAGCCAGGTCACGATCTCGCGGTCCGTGAGTTCGAGCCCCGCATCAGGCTCTGGGCTGATGGCTCAGAGCCTGGAGCCTGTTTCTGATTCTGTGTCTCCCTCTCTCTCTGCCCCTCGCCCGTTCATGCTCTGTCTCTCTCTGTCCCAAAAATAAATAAACGTTGAAAAATAAAGCTTCCAGCTTCCTTTGCAGCTACATGACTAGGCCACATGAGTAGGTAAAAATGCATGCAGATGTGCTATGTGTCTTCACGGAAAATAACTTTATATAAACAGATT